AACATTGTGAGCATCACCTGGAACTTGTTAAAAGTATAAAATCTCAGGGACCATGTATTTTCTCAAGAATGCAGAGTGGTTTCTTTACTCACTACTATGAAATAGGTATTGAGTTGAAAGTTACCCACCACCATCGACTTTATCTGTCAAATGCTAAAAGATCTTACAACCCCAAACAATGTGTCTTAAATAGGATTTTACTGAAAAAAACAGTTCATGCCTGTTTCCAGCACATGGGAGGTACATGCAAGAGGGTCTGGATTTGAAGTTCATTCATGCTGCTTCAAGAATTCAAGGGGCAACCTTCATGCAGCTATGAGAGAAGCTACCTTCAAAAATTGCTGGATCTACAACTTGAAAATGCCATGAATCTTCCAATGTTTTTGCTCTCTCAAAAAAATTAAAGGAGCAACCTCACAACTGAGACAGCCTTGAAGCGATACTTGTCGTGAGGAATGATTAAAGTGTTTTCTTTCAGATACCAAAATCTCTAGACACTTAAGCTCTTACTACACAAAGAACCTGTGCAAGCTTTCCATATACTATACATGAGCCTGACATCAGTTATAATACCTAATGCATCATACATGCAATCAAGCTATTCTAAACAAGCCAGTATACATACAAAATACATTGCTCACCTCAAGGTTTCTGTCTGTAGTTAATAGAGTTCACAGATGCCAAACCAAGGAATATTAAAGACTAACTTTGCATTTACCTCAAACAAAAATGTATGTGCACGCACACACACACACACACACACACACACACACACACACACACACACACAGAGAGAGAGAGAGAGGGGGGGGGATACCTTGATATTGTTTCTTTTCACCTAAGAATTTATATTTTGTGTTGCCTCCAGAAGAACTAGTAAAGAAGTTATTACCATTAAATTCTATGTTTGTATAGCATGTAATCATTTAACACTGTGCTGTTTGAGCAGTGAAATTACAATATAATGATTCTTGCTCATGTATTCATTCTGTTCTAGAAATTAGGAAAGCAATCAGAACCAGGTGATATGACACAGTTGAGCATTCTCACTACATCGGAAGCTTGTATTCTTATCCCTGAAAACAGAAAAAATAAGAGCACACTTCTCTAAGTCATGTGACTGAAGACAGACATGGTCCATGGTGATGTTTCTAGAAGTTTAATATCTCATTGATACAAGTTTGGAGTAATCTCTCCAATGAACCCGTAAACCCACTTTCCATGATTTACCATAAAAGCATCCATATAACACTCCATAGAGGCCTTATCATTTAGGATTTACATATGTGACAACCTGTCACCTTCTATAAGTCTTCTTCCTTTAATAAGAATCATAGCTTCTGGGTAGTCACATAGTTATAAAGATGAGGGACACCTGTGATAATGAAAAGATATCTATATGTAACCAGGCTACACTGCCTTCAGATTCCATCTTTGCCAACTCTGAGAAACAATGATGGGGCCCTTAGGGTCTGCAGCTATAAGAATACCAGTGTCCCCTCTGCAAATGTGCAGGCAGAAATAGGAGAGTGTCGTGTATGCATACAAAACAACAGTGCCAAGCAGGCAGAAGATATTGGAATAAACACTGCTTTCATCCCTCATCAAGTAAATTCAATAAGGCAAAGAACAACAAAACTCTCATACCAAAGCCTATGAATTAGGTAAAATGTGTTTTTCTTGCCTCTTAACTTCTTCTCAGATAGCAAATAAATTCATATTCTCATTCCAACTTCCAGTTCCAAGTACGGAAAACTGAATATGTCCCTTCCTACAAAATGTTTTTTAACAGGAGAGTTGATACAATTGTTTCCTCTCACAACTATATAGACTCAATTCTACTGAGTTCAAACATTTTCAGTTCCTTTGATATTTCCCTTTGATGATAATCAATCTGCTTTAAAATAACAAAAAGAAAAAGTTTCATCTGGAAGCATCTATTAGTTCTAAGGTTTTTATTTGAAGTCCCAAAAGTGTCACCATGCATTGTCTATGTTCATTAAGTGAGACTGCGCATTTGTGATCACTATCCCGGTAAACATATTTGGTAATTAGTCACAATGTGGATTCCATGTTCCCAAGCAAAGCAGGAGCCCCACACTCTTTCATCTTCTAACTTTCTTCCAGCACATGACTCAGGTTTCACCAATGAGATGCAGTCTCAAGAAAATGGAATTCCAGACTCAGAACAACAGGCGGCAGCTGTGGCCTCTGAGTGACAGAGGAACAGGCCCTGCATGGTAAAATTTGCTGAGCTTGAGGGCAGACAGGCTCATCAAGTATTATTCCTGACTATGAAGAGTAGTGCTCACCAAACACACAGCTCAGGAGGAAAGGTTTGATATCAAAATCAGTTTAGATCTTGGAACTCCCTTAGGACACTTCAAATATAAAATGACACTAAGCAAAAATATTGATTACTTATGACATATTTTGCCAAAACTGTATTCAAGTGGAGACCACAAACATTTATGTGTACTTTCAAAAAATCACTGAATAATCTTAGATATTTAAAAAAGAGATCAGAAATCAGCTTGTACAGTAAGCACTTTTGATGTCTATTCTTGGTTGTCAACTTGACTACATCTAGAATTAAGTAAAACCCAAGAGGGAAAATCTGCAAGGGATTATTTCTTAATTAAATCATTTGAACTGGAAAAAGCCCACTTTTGATTCAGATCTTCTGAGGTGGGAAGATACACCTTTAATCTGGGGCACACCTGCTGTCAGCCTACATAAAGGGCATGGAAGAAGGCAACATGTTCTCTTTGCCTGCTTGCTCTGGCTGGTAATCCATTCCTTCACTGGCATTAGAGCCTACTTCTTTGGGATTTTGGTGTACACTGAAGACCAGCTGAAGCATCCAGCCTTGTGGACTGAACAACTACTGGATTTTTGGATTTTCCATCAATAGACAGCTGCTATTGGACCTACTGAACCACAGCCTAGAAGCCAGTCTGAGCTCTTGTGTGTGTGTGTGTGTGTGTGTGTGTGTGTGTGTGTGTGTGTGTGTGTGTGTGTGTGTTGCAACAGTCTTATATTGGGTTTCCATTGGTAGACCTTGAATCCCAGATATGGAATTTTACATGATTTTCTATGTAGCGAAATGTCTTGCTGATGAGAGCATTTATGATGAGTAGGATTATTCAATCTATACAAACATACTCTCCCGTCCTCACAATTGTTTATTGTAACTAAGAGCCCAGCATTTTATTCAGGAAGAGTACAAAATGCTCTTCACTTTATCAGCACTTAACTTTATCCCCAAATTAAGATGTCTTAAAAAAAATCATCTGTCATGTTTTCATTGAAGATACATTGGGCATAGTCTCATTTGTATACATACTGACAATGAATTGATTTTTGGTTTCTATTTGCACATGTCACTTTTCATTATTTCTCTTTGAAACAGGATCTCATCTGGCCTAGGCTGGCCTTGAACTCCAAATGAAGGCAAGGATGACCTTCAACTTCTGACCCTACTGTCTCCACCCCCAGAGGACTGAGATTATAGGCACTCTCCAATATACCTATTTTTTATGTGGTCTGTGTGATTGAACCAAGGACTTTGACAAGCACATTATTGACTGAGCTACATTTCTAGCCCTAGATGTCAGATTTCTTGGGTTCTCCAAAACAGAAGTACTTTTGAACTGCTAATATTAATGCAGAGTGAGTTTATTTAACATAAATTCATACCCCTTGAACCGAGGAACTTAAAAACTATTAAAAGCCCAGAGAAGAGGACAATAAGATATAGTTTTAATACATTATAATGACTCTTAATTGATAATTATCTAAAATATTTGCTTTAAGTATCAGTTTCTTGGAGTCAATGGTAAATGAATTAGGTAGTTAGAAAAAAACCCACAGGAGTGAAAATGATGATGATGGGACTTGGTAGAAGTGTATCTTGATTCTAGTGATGGCCACACATATCTACACATGATAAATTTACAGAAACACATACACAGGGCTATACCAAATTGCTAGTGGACTCTATCAATATCAACATACCAACTGTGAAGAGGTACTGTAGTTTTGGAAGGCATCACCATTGATAAGTTCTACGAGATATTTTTTTAGATTCATCCTGACTACTGCATGTGAATTCATGAGGTTTTTCAATAAGAAGTTAGGAGTAAGACATAGTCCTCATTTTCTATGTGTATATGCTTATTTGTGGGGAGGACTGAGTACAGAGACTTCAGTGTGGACATCCATCTATGAAGCACACTGGTGGGGAGTGAATGAGCAGAAATTCAGTGAGAGTATAGACAAATAGCACACACACTGACTAACAAATACTATTCATTAAATTGGTTGAACCTCTTGAGTTTCTTTCATCTAAAACATCTTTTGGAGGCACTGTGACCCCTTTTTTTTTCTTAATATTCACAATGAAAATAGTTGACTTGTTTGTTTAATTCAGGCTTTTTCTGCTGTTGTAATTAGCTTTTGAAATAACTCTTCTGAAATGCAAGCCTTAATGGTTTAACAATGTATCTCTTCAAGATATCAATAGTGATGATTACCAAGCCATTGTGAGTATTTTATGTATCTTAAGTATATTTGTATTTGATAATTGTTCCCATGGACAAACATGTTAAAAGGTATCCCATGTCACATTCAGTAATGCATAATATAATAGCAAATATAGGGACATATTTGATTAATAGATATAATGTTTGTATTTGGGAGACATTTAAGCAGACAATTATTAAATTTACCCTTGGAATTCTTTTGTAGCAATTTTTAGAGGGAAGGGAAAAGGTGAGTAGGAGCATCTCAGTAATTTTCTGGACCCTAAGAGCTCATCTTCCCCGCCAGTGAACACATAGATTATAATGAATGAAGCAATTCTTATTAATTTTTAGCTGGTTATGTCAGCATGGTTCATTTTAAAAACATAGGCTATGATAGGTACAGCAGGGAAATTAATATAATGAATTGCTCTCTTCCAGGCATCATCTGTGTAAGATATGGAAACAAAAACTAACCTGAGCATGTGGGCAGCATTGAAGACGACGTCAAACTCGGTGCTGTCCAGTTCAGCTGCTGTTTTGGCCATCTCGGCTGCTTCTGTGAGGCGAGATTCTTCCAGAAGAAACTGACCTGCAAAGTAAAGTAAGCGAGCCTCATTCAAAAAAGTGATAACTGCTTGCAATAATAAGTAAGTGTAGTGGAAACAGTGATCTGAAGCCAAGATTTAATGTCCTGTTCTTTATTTAGTCATATTTTATATGCCTTTCCCATAATTATAGGGTATCATAAAGATTCTAAATTTCTGTGTGCTCAAAGTATTTTTCTTAAAAAGAATCTTCTATAATCTATTCAAGTAGAAAAAAATGAACACACAAAGAAATATAATAAATGCAAGTCATGTCTATTTTAACTGTTAGTACTTTAAAATGATACCCATCCCTGATACATACATGCAAACAGGTGTATCCATTCTGAGATAATCAGGTTTTTTTTTTTTTGATAAAATTATTCAAAAGGCACAAAAAGATAGATTTGGCAATAACTCACTCTAAACTACACTTTGCAGTGAAAGTGGGATAAATACTAACAAGCTTGAATTTTTGAAACTATTTCAGATCAGTTTTGCAAGGATAAGATTGTTTCAGCTAGTTATCTTTAATTCTTTAAAACTGCATCTTAAGAATTACATAAAGAAACTTTCTACACTGGTAAAATAACGTAAAAATGGGTTAAAATTTAAGTCTATGGATATATAGACAAAAGCGATTTCTTGAAAGATAGAGATTTCTCAACAGAGATACTAATTTAAGCATGATTTTATAGAGAGATTAAAGTTCAAATCAAATCAGCTGGTAGCACAGCTTTGTTGAAAGCATCCATACACCTGCAGGTTTAAGGGTTTATGTTCATCATTTGTTGTGGGAGTTTTCTCTTTGCTTGGAGATCAAAAATTTGAAATTAAGACCTAATTATAGAAATCATTAGAAAGTCAAGAACTACAAATAAAAAGCAGAACATTATCTAAGAGGGAAAATGCTTGGGTAGCTGTTGGGAAAGCCTACAGTCAAGTGATTGATAATGACTACTGCCTTTAACCTAAAATGCATGTCCTAAAATAAAAAACCAAGAGAGAACTAAGTTTTAAGAAATTATGATGATTAATAGCTATTGCTTGGTTGAAGCATGTTTAAAGTTCAATTATGAAAAATAAAACAAATTTTGTGTAATGATAATTCTAATTGCTTGCTGAGGTGGTTGGACACTTGTATTTCTCAGCACTTGTGAGGCTGAGACAGGAGAATCATCAACTTGAGGTTACATGGGAAGACCATGTTTCAAAATCATTAAGGAGAAAGCTCTAAATTATACACAGAAAACATAGTACTCAAAAATTTCTTGTATATACTAGCCATATGGAAAGAAAGAAGAGAGGAGATATAAAGAATATTCTTTAAAAAACACAAACCAAGAATTAAATAATCTGTAGAAAATGAGCAATTTTTTCCTCATGTATGGCTTCATAAGGGAACCAGGCCAAATACCTTTCAGTTAGTTATGGGCATGAGAGTTTGCTTTGAACATTAAGAGAAAGTATTCATTGTTATCTATTGCAATATATTGCTTAATTAAATAAATGCATAATCAGTATATTAATTATTTATGTCATATATAAACAAAGTGCAAGGTAGAAAATTGCTAAGTTTTTTTTCCAGGCAATCAACTCTGAAGTGTACTATGTATTGATGGTTAGGAAAACACAACAATTAATTGAACAATGAAGGTTATTATCTTATAATGGACAGGGAAAAGTGGAAATATATTAACCCTGCTGAAAAATACAAAGGAAAGAAAGAGAATCAGAAGGGTCTATGGCCAGATCTAATAAATACAGTGAAATTCGGTTACACAAGTACTCAGTTTATAAAGCATGCTGTAGACAAAGCCTTTCAAGCCTTTGGACATACAAATTATTAATGTACAACAACCAAAAATCTAAACAGCATCCTATTATGTGAACTCCAATATGCCTTTTTTATTGTTACATAATAATATTCACCTTCAAATTATTTTTGTCATAAAATTTGTACTTTGTAAACTGTTTACCAAGTCTATAACTAAAATTCATAATCTTAGCCACATAAGTGATTATAGTTAAAATTCCCATTTGAACATTTTATGGTAGAATATATTTGTATTAATATTCAAAAATAGCATAACAACATATTTGCTATGTGTTTTTATAATTCTGACTCCACAGGCCACAAATACCAAAAGTCCACCATTAGTATTTGGATAATATAAAAATAAAAATTATTAAACGTGAATAATTGGGGTTTCCAACTTAATTTGAATACCTGAGACAAAACTGAACAAAACTAGTCCTAATACATGACACAAGGATCACTTCTTTAGGATACTGCCCAGAACCAATGTGAAATCAGTTAGTAAACATTTTAAACACATAGAACCACCAAAAAAAGGACATAAAATTAAAGCAGCCTTCGGTCAAATAATTATCCAAACCATCTCAAATGACCCATTATTCGGGGCATTCATAATAGTAAAATTCCTGGTATCACTTCTGGATCTTTCACCACCCATCGCTACCCACACTGTCAGCTATAACTATTACTTCCACTACCAAACCTCTGAACAGCTTCAGCTGCCCATACGGCAATCTACTGTTTCACGTCAATCACTTATTTTTTCCCCCTGGAACATCCTACCTCTAAGTTTTCTTGACCGCTAAAGCTCTAGGTCTGTCTTGCTTACTCACTGTACTTCCCATTCTTCCATTTTCATGTCCTAAATATGGTTTTTCCTCATTGAAGCCTTCCTTGACAAGTTTCCAATAGTTGCCAGAATTTCTTATGGCTTATATTCACTATAATCTAATTTACCATCAAAACCAAAGCATTTCAAAGCGTATACGGGACTGATATTAATTATACTGGGACAAGGACGAGCACCAGAATTGTCCCCATATGGCCGCTTCAGTTACAAGGAGAGAGGGTATCCCAACCTTCTCATCTTTAACACAACTGGGAAGTGAAGCATTTGCAAAACACCGCTCTGAATTGCTGCCACAGAAGTGATGGGAGCAGGAGGTGAAACAGAGCTGCTTTTCCCTCAACAAGTTCTCTGGCATCCACCAGGGTGGCTGCCGGAGCTCAAACAGAGAGAAAACTCCATGACAGAACCAGCCTGCTGCAGAAGATCAAGAAAATGGGGAAGGCACTCATGTCAATAAATCGGTCGATCATGGTAAATTCTGTGAAGACTGGCAAGTTTACATGTCCACTGATTTCTAGTTTAGTGCTTATCAGAACTGTCACCACCCTATCCCTGACAGCTTCCCAAGTAGGTGTATGGGACAGACTTTGGAATCTGCATTGCAAACAGGTCTTTAACTCATGCTGATGTTGCTAGGGAATGTCCACACTTTGAGAATCAGTGTGTTATGCTAAAGCAAAATATTTTCCATCATGCTATTGATTCCAACTATATGGGATTAGCTTGCAGTTAGCTTGAGCTAAGCTGAAAATAACCTACACCTGACAATAACCCCTCCATTATGGGGTATAATGAGCAGGTCTTACATACAGGTACAGATAGAAAATTATGTATGTGTGGTATTGTATTCCCCCAAATATTGTGCATGCTAATAAACTTATCTGGGGTCAGAGACAGAGCAGCCACAATATTAACCATAAAGGATAGGCAGTGGTAGCACACGCCTTTAATCCTAGAATTCCAGAGGCAGAAATCTATGTGTTCAAGGATACAGACAGGCAGCATGGTGACTCATCACACCTTTAATCCCAGAAAGCAAGCCTTTAATCCCAGGGAGTGGTGGTAGAAAGCAGAAAGATATATAAGGCGTGAGGACCACAAACTAGAAGCTTTTGGCCTGGTTAAGCATTTGGCTGGTTAAGCTTCCGGTTTTCCAGTAGCAATTCAGCTAAGACCCATTCTGGATTCAGAGGCCTCCAGTATGAGGAAACAAGATCAGCTGAGGATCCAGCGAGGTGAGGTAGCTGTGGCTTATTCTGGTTCTCTGATCTTCCAGTTCACCCCAATACCTGGCTCAGGTTTGATTTTATTAATAAGAACTTTTAAGATTCATGCTACACATATGTATGAATGGCATAGCCAATAAAAGTGTGTTTACTCTCAATGAGAACAAATGCAAGAATAGGTTCTAAGAAATCATTTCTTGTCTACATACAGTAGATAAGCACATGTTTTGCATCTGATAATTGAGTAGAACTGCAAATAACACACCACACACACACACACACACACACACACACACACACACACACACACACACACACACCTCCCTTACCAAAAAAACTGCTCATGTGTGTTATTCTCATGTGTGTATTCTTCCTACCATTTTTTTACTTCTTTGGTTTGTAAGTTGCCTTACCAAGGTTAATTATCCTCATTTTTACATCATTGTCTCAAATCAAAGGAAATGGGGAGGGGGGAGTAAATGAAAAACAAATGAGAAATTACAAGGAAAAAGTCATTGTGTATGAGGGAAACAGAAGATGATTATAAAGCAGTCACATTCTCTAGAGATCCTGAGACAAAGAGTGTAAGTTACCACACCGACTAACGTAAGATGAAAGAAAAGCAACCAATTGCCCAAGTCTCAAAGCTTCTAGCATAAGAATTGTACAGTTTCCTCTTTGAACATTTTCTCCCATGCTGAACCATTTAAGCTACTTGGTGGATTTTGACCAAATTTTTAATATGACAAGCTTATGAAGATCAATCCTTCATTAATTCCTGGATTTAAAAAGCTCCGCCTGTGAAGTAGAAATCGGTAAAAATGAAAGCGTCAGGATCAATGCTGCTTTGTATAACGTTCACATACAGACTCCCTAAATTAATTGGAACTGGCACTTCTTGCTAAAACACCTTGAAAAATTCACTCTTCAGAGCAATTCAACTCTACTAGAGACCCACAAAAACATGTATGAGGTGTCATAATGATATAATTCTTTTTAAGAAAAACAATAAAGCTTGTAAAGATTTTTTTTTTTACTAAACTAAATCACAGCATTTACATTAAAATAGTTGTTCATTGGCGAAGGCATATGGTCCTTGGAACATATTCA